CTCAAGGACCATTCGTGATAATTTCATAAACGTGAAGGACCATTTGTGATAAAAAGCCAAACTTAAAAGATACTTTCCCCAGGTACAAACCAATACAGATTATGTCACAAATAATGATAATCATGTTCACTATGCAGTCATAACATCCAGAAATCTAACTTTCAGTCCGATGCGCAACGATTGATCATTTCCAACAATTAAGGATTTGTTCTTATCAAAAGCAAAAAAATTACACATACTTGAGTAGGAAGCCTACGATAGTTTTGCTTTTTTAACACAGAAGTTATACATCCAAATTATGATGGACCTCGCAAATTTTCATCTGAAGTATGTTTGTTTGAGCCACCATCTCCATTTTGATCAATTTCCAGCCATGCTCTGTTAACCTTACACTAGCATTATACGTAGAGTGTAAATAAGAATAAACTTTCGGAACTTGTATTTTATTTTTTCTGCAAAACAAGCTTGTTCACATGCCCCATTATTCCGTACAACAAAATTTAAAAGAGAGGGAGAGACAGAAAGGAAAGTATTTTCTGGCAAGACAAACAGAACCAACTTTAAAAGGAGCAAATTTTTTATGGTTTCATAAGAAATGGAGTTAGAACCAATTAATCAGCTTTTTCCTGAGAAAATACTCGGAAAGTGATGGAAAAAAAAGAGTGAGAAGATGATTAAGTTACCTGCTGGTGGGATGAGAAGAGGGTTTCGGGTTCCATGGGAAATGGAGGGCTTTGCGAGGCGGAGGCCGGACGTATCCTTGGGCTGTGATGACGGTGGCGGAGAGATTAAGAAAAGGAGCGTGATTGTCGGCTTCGGGTCCATTGTCTCCCTCCTTGTCTGCGATCAATTTTATGTTTATACCTCATAACATCCGTGCCCAATTGAGATGTCCCCTGTCTGTCCCTTGGCTATTCTCTTGCGATCTGCTCGTCTCCTATGATTTTCTCCACAACGCATATTTATTAAATGAAAAAACTGAAAAAAAATAAAAATTAAGTACATTACTTTTATAAATAAATAAATAAAAATAAATAAAATAGGTGCATTATTTTAAAATTACTTAACTCATAATATTCAGAGGTGGTAATATTTAAATAGTATAGCCGCGCGGCTATACTATTAAAATATTCCAATATATTTAAAGAGTATAGCCCCGCGGATGTACTATTAAAATATTTACGGCTATACTATTAAAATATTCAAAAATATTTAAACAGTATAGCCGCGCGGCTATACGTTTTAAATATACAGCTATACTCTTTAAATATATTGGAATATTTTAATAGTATAGCCGCGCGGCTATACACTTTAAATACTGGAAATGACGATTTCAGGCCTGATTGAGGCCAACTAGTTATTGTCGACAGAAGAGTAATCGATTTCAGGCCAGGTTTCGAGGATGGATTTTGAATCCGCGAAGTTGGCGCGCCCTGCAGCCTCATTTTATATTGCCGATGAGGATTGCCTATATTTTGTTGATTCAGAGGTATGCATTGACTTGTAAGTTGTGATATGTGATTATGATGCTGGGGCTATTTTGCTTAGATTTGTAACTTGCCAGTTTACGTGTGTGGGTCTCTATCTACTAAGAATCATGCCATCAGGAAAGCTGATATGGGGAGGCGGGTTTTAGAAACCCTATCCAGTGGGCGATACTAAAAAGAAGAGTAGTCGATTTTGGACTTGGATCATGCTCAGTCTAGGTTTGAGAAGTAATGCTGATACAAGGTCTGAAGAATTTGATTGACAATCACTAATGTTTCCTTGGCATCTGATCAAATCCATTGACGATCATCTCTTCATTATAAACCGAAGGTAGAACAAACCCTTCATCCGTGGTCACTTGTCTTTAACTTTTAAGTTGTATTCCATTTGAGTGAACTTCTAAGTCATTAGGAATGAAATTTTAGTGCTTATGAGTGGTACCTTGGAGATGGATTATTTTGAAATTAATTTACCATGTGAAACCCTAAGGTATGAGTGGTGAATGAAGCCATGCCTTATTTCAACTTTATATAAGCGTGGTAAATTCCTGTGGATACAGTTAAATGTAGATATACAGGTAGAGTTAGCATACAGTTAAGTGTAGATATCCCTGTGGATACTGAGCTTGTAGAACAATTACAAGAAGGTTGTATATGGCGCCAGGTAAGAGGATCTGCTACCGTAGTGTCAGGCATAGATGATGTACGAGGGTCTTCACTTCAGAGAAGGTTCTTACCTGGCAGAGCTTATTTTCTTTGATTCATTTTTTTGCCAGATTAAGTTCCATTATCCTACAGTAGAAAATATTCTACTCCATGCTTTAAGTAGCTTAGGATTTCAGCTCTTTGGAGTTGGCAGGTTGGTGTTGCTCAACAAGGGTATGATGAATTGGATAATCTTGCCCCTTTGATATCACCACCTGAATCAGAGTTGAATGCGGAAGATGATAGTACAACTTCAGAAGTAGGATTTCAAGATGGGAAAGTTTGCATCAATTGTGCTGTCAATAGTAGGGGTGGGCACGGTCTGGTTCGGCCCCATTTTGACTCAATACTAGTCCCGGGACATGTGAGGTGTGCACCTTTAGTTTATATCTTTACTTGTTTTGTTTTGGGTCGTTTGAAAGCAACTGAATCTCTGGCCATGGTTCCAATTTTGCTCATTCTTGGCATTGTGCAGGTTATTTTTTATGCGGCACTATATTTAATACAACTCTTCGTCAAAATTTATGTCTCCTATTATCCGTTCTGCTAAACCATTTGATTTTATGCCTTGTACCAGATGAAACTTGAAATTGGTCGCCAAGAATCTCAATCCTTCACGTAATGACCATTGTAACCATCTACTATATTTTTGTTTTTCAGCATTACAAGAAGTTGGTTTACATTAGCATATACATATACATATATATGTTAACGGATATATTAACACCGAATAAAAAGAAAAATATTAAAATAGAGATACACTTGCAGCACCACTGAAGATTTTCATTTGCTGATGAACAGCATGCCATGATCAGAGAGAAATTTGATCCCTTCTACACTACGCTGGTACCAATTTGGTTACTAGGCTTTAAAATGTTGAACTTGCACAGAGGGCAGGTAGCATTGATGTATAACCATTTGTCTATGCAGCTGCAGTGAAAATGATGATGGCAAGGAAGTCCGCGTAATTCTGCTCCATTGTCGTAGACAGAAAGACAGATGCAACATTCCTGCAATTTATCAAAAAAAATTCATGTGATACGGGCAGTCTGTGAGAAGGCTTCTTCGCAGTAATGTATTGCAAAACCAGCACTTGCGCACATACTAGATATACAGACAAAAGATTGTATGGTTTCATCCTACGACTTTCAAATGATATGAATATTGGGAAATCTAAGAACTCCAAACCACCTAATCTTAGGATTCATATCAGACCTTGGTTTTCATAAAAGAACTTGGAAAACGAAAGGGGGTTGTAAGGGAAGGAACGCTGACAAAAAACAAAAGATCAAAAGCTACGGTACTTGAGCTGCCAAAAATACACAACATTATACAAGTATAAAGCAGCTAGGAAAGGGATAGGACCATATTGAAAGGCACATGGAAACTTACAGCATCATCCTGGGAAATAACATGCTCAGTTGGTGCATGAGTGTTACATTCGGTCATTAATCCTTCAGAAGCTTGGGCCTCACCGTTAAGTTTCTCAAAATTACCTGTCCTGCGAAATTTGAACTTCGGTAATCTATCAATTTCTTCCTCTGTTGCCCCCTCCTGTTTTCATGCAGAAGTGATATGAAGGCAGGTAAGTCATATATTGACATATATGATTGAATAGAAAGGAATTATTTCATAAGTGCAAGATAACCAAATTAAAACAAGAAGCCAAACAATTCTTTCATTCTTTTCCCCTTTCATAACCTACTACGTCATGCAAGGTAAAGGATCCTCTCAATTCATATGGATCCTCTCTGTTCGTATAGTGAATGGAAAGGATCGATTCTTCAATCGCAACTGTCACATGGAATGGGCCACCCTGAATTACGGTGGCACGTATAAATCTAGAACTTTGGCATAATCTTCAGGCCAACAATGTCAGCAACTGGTAAATCAGTCATGGTGTTTTCATGTTTCTTTTCAATCAAAGAAAATTTAACTATATAATACTCTTCTATCCAAAATCCAACAGAAAAATGCACCAGAAAAATTCAATATTTTAAGAAACTCTAAGAGGAGTTTTCATATGGTCGCCCATAAAATTCTAAGAAAGAACTCAAATTGCCAACAGCTTAAGAGAGCTCTTCAGCAATATACATTTACTAACAATAACGATGCACAAATATTGTGAAAGTTAGGCTCTTCCTTCAGAATCAACATGCAAAACAAAAATGACTATTTGATACAGAATTGATCTCTTTTGATTCGAGGGACTCAGGCTGGTGCCAATTACTTAAGGAAAGGGAGGAGAGATGAGAGGGGTGAGACAGTACAAAAGGTTTTTAGAATCCATTATAAATTTCAGCATGAGATAAAATGAGCCAGTAAAAGTTTGCACGTGTATCACACTTTGTATAACAATATAAGAAATCATAACATGCAAAACACAACTATGAACAACAAGCTATTAGCCTATTGCCACTTATCACGGTTTCTTATTCATATATTGCCATAATTTCAGCTTCATGTGCACGTATCAAGAGATTATTAACTTGCCTATTATTCCTAAATATGCTATATCAAGTTAACTCTTTCTACAAAATAACACTAAATATTGCATACATTCCTTGTGGTTGTCTACCTGATCTGTTACAGCATATAAGATTGCAATTATGCATGGCAGACAGCAGCAGACGGCAATTCCAACAAGACATGCAACGGCAACACATATAACGACGAAGAGCATATCAAAAGCTAGAAATGTAACACAAAGCCTGCAAAATAGAACCGCACGTAAGTAGTTAAAACACACACACACACATTCAAGTCAATCACTCAGAAGAAACCACTTAAGAATAAACTCTATTCAATCCTAACCAGTATAGATGGGATGAATCACATAGCAAAGTCTGGCCACCATCAGTCACCCAGTAGAATCCAATGACCCACCAAATAAATGAAAACATGGTATTGGCTGACTCCAGATGCTTTGTGACACTGTTGCAGTAAAAAAAAAAAAAAAGCATAGTTATATGTACTTTCATGGCATACAGCCACACAAAGATTAGCCACATGTAAAGATAATCACATTCAAAACAAATGGCAACCATAACTAACATTAACCAACTTATTGCATTTTAAATTTTGCATTACATATATGATGTGAAAAAAGGGTAAAATCCCATGTGGGGATTCAATCAATGAGGCCCCATTTCCATTAAACATCACCATCTAGATTCATCCCACTTCAAATTAACCACAAACGGACGGAACTTAAATAATAGTAGGTCTGTCCTGCTCATTTTTACATATCTAAAAAAGGAAAAGAATTACACTGAGAAATAAAAATTTCAAAGCTTGACAAATGTGCAACAATAGATGAACAGCATACCGATTCCAGAATACAAAAAACGCTTACTTACACTGAGCTTTAGAAACCATGTTTTTTATGTCACTTTTACTAGAACCACAGACAAAAATATTCATATCCACCATTCTATATAACATATACGCAAACTAAACATAAATACATACTTACAAACCAATTGAATATACAGGCAAGATTTCCTTTTTCCAGAAATGCAACATTTAAATCAATATCCACACATTTATACTATTAACATATATGAATTTATATTCCTAAGTCCTAAAAACAATCGAGAATAATACGCATAATTGCACAAGGAGCCTAAAAACAAAAGCAAAAAACTCTACCTTGTCTCATCATCAGCCATACCCTGCTCACTCCCATAATCTTCAACATCACTTCCAGACCCCAAACTGCCACTCCCACCACTTCCCCAACCTACCTCACCAAAACCCACCTCACGTCTCCTCCTATACTCCACAACCACACACCCAACATGAACAACACACTGCAAAATATACCCAACAACCCAAATCCTCAAAGGCACCACAGGCTTCTCCTCCATGCTCAACCCCATCACAGTGAACCCAACACACACAAAAGCCAAGTTCCACAGCAGGTCCAGAACTATGACGGGCTTCGAGTAAGCCCAGTAGCTCTGGCGCTCTTCCAGCTCCTCCGCCGCGTTCTCTCGGACCCGAAACGAGGGCTCACGAAGCCTCATTCGGCGCCCGCTGGCTCGTCGAAGGAGCCGCGCCGCGCCGCGCAATGGTGGCGGGGTATGGCGCACGAGCCGCCGGCTTCGGAGGAGGTCATCGGCCATTGAATAGCCGAGGAGTGGTGAAGTGTCCATGGCCTACTAGAAAATTCTTTTGAATTGGGTTCGATTTTCTGGGAATCGTGTTGTATTTGGATTTTGGGTTTGTGACTTTCGAATGATCAGAGTGGAATTTGTGTGGGTTGCTGTGATTCACTTGAAACAGAGATTTGAAGGTTGAAGATGAAGATGAAGCATTTTGGAGCTAAAATGGGGTTTTTGGAAATCAAATTGGGGGATGAATAGAAACTTTTGAAGGTTTAAATTGAAACATTTGGGATGAGAGAGAAGATTTGAAAGGTGAGTGAGCTGGTGTAGAGTGGGAGCTTTTCTGAATTTTGGGTTTGGGATTTTTCAGTGATTTGATGGGAAGTTTGGTTTGGGACTAAACTGCTTTTGTTTTTTTCTTGGTATTTTGAATTTGAAGTCGGTGAACTTCATTTTCACCAGAAGAAAGAGTATGTGTACTTTACGGTTTGATTCAAATTTCTCACTTTTCACATGGGAAATTGCAATTGTGCTTCTACTTGTTTGGCTTTGTGTGTTTGAAATTGAATTCAAATTCCCAAAGCAATATTTTTTCTGGTAAATAAGATTTTATACAATGTTATTTGGGGAAACAAAGAAATTAGGACTCACCATTGTATTCATTACAAACAATAGGTAAACTTCTTTTAAAAAAATTAACAGAGAGCCGAAATCGAATTTTAGACCTCTTACAATATTAAAATGAGAAGTATCCTCAGACTAAAAATTAGTTAATAACAGTTCAAGCTTAGTATATTCGAATTTTCGACTACCTTCAGGTTTCATTATCACTGAGTTTATCTTATATTTGAAGTGTTTAAGGTATACTCAAATGATAAATACATATGAAAAAATATGTCATAATTATGTTACATCTAGAGTTCGATTCTGATTAGTTTCTGTTTTTGCTTGATGAACTCATAGAAACAAAGGGGATGTTGGGAACATAGTTTATGTCGGAAAGTGGAAACACTAGCGATTGTGGAGGATGTGTGAAATGAGAGTGGATGATGATGTATTTGTCGGAAGAAAATTTCCGAATGCTTTTGAAAGCTGAAAGCTTCAGTTGGGATAAAGATGTACAACACCCACCCGCGCGCCCACTGGCTCCTTCTGCTGGGCTCCCGCCACGTATCCGATGCAAAGTTGCCGCCGAATGTTTTCGATTCGCTGGCGCTACATTATCATCAGTGCTCATCTGTTCTGAACACTGTTTTTATAAAATAAAACGGAAAAAAAATATATAATATTTTAAAAAGTCCATTTTCATATTCTTATAAATTTACTTTGCTGAGTTAAAACATTGTAAAACATTATTTATTTATATAATTATTTTATTTCAAAATAATAATAATATTATTATTATTATTTAAATAAAATAAAAACCATTCCCTACTTTAAGAGCATTTCCATCCATTTGCTATGACAAAGTCAATGGTAGACAATGACTTTTACTATTCACATAACTAGTATCTGCCCTAACAATTTTTTTTGTTGGTTTTCCACTCATTGTCTTGACAACCCAAGAGCAACTATTATTCATATGAGATATGAGGAGACGAATTTATATACAGTTTTGGTGTGGGTAGTGAAGAATATGACTAGGTATTTATAAAAAATAAAAGTAAAAACTGAAATTTTTGGTCCTTTTTCCCTTTTTTTATTCAATTTTTTTTGTTATTTGAATTGAATGTTGACATCACAATGACATAAGCTTGTCCAGGCAATAGTCCAAACAAGTCTTTTCTTTGGGCTTGTCCATGTTGATAGAGCCCAACTCTTGGCCTAGCAAGACTTGGGCACTGGAAACACATTTGGAGGCCTTAGGTGCCTCTTACCCTAGTTTGGGCCTCCCAATGGAAATGCTCTAAGGCCTTCTCCAACCCATGAGGGGCTAAACCCAAATTTTCCCCCTCTAAAAAGTAACTATTTAGGTTTTGTCCGGACTCAAATCGTTTTTTTTTCAAACCCTCCGGACTCAAATTTTAAGTTCGCAACTTTATTAAATTGTTTAAGAATAGTTTAAGTCTAATTTTTTTCTTATGGATAACTTTTCTTCATTCAATCTTTTTAAATAACTTCATAATTAAATTTTTTGAACAATTTGACCTAAAAAAATTAAAATTCCACAAAAATAATTTTATTCCAAAAGAAAACACACAACATATTATTTTGAGTGAGTATTTATAGAGTTTGGAGTGAGTTTTGGGGTTGGATCTTATCTAGATTAATTTAAAATATTATTTTGACCGTTTGATTTAAATTTTAGCCGTTGGATTTTTTTTTACCATTAAAATAGCTTAGATTTAATGTAGATCGTTGATTTAAGTTATATGTATATACCCAAAAAAAAAAGGAGCAACTTATTCAAATGTTGCTGATGGCAACTACATAGGAGAGCGACACGTGGCCTAGTAGAAGAAGACAAAAACAATAGCAATTCTAGCGCTAGGGCCCACGTTAGAATCTTTTCACATGTGGTCTTTTTCAGATGTAGGTGGGCTCCATGAAAAGTTTTGGGTCCAGGCAATACTTGAACTGGTATTTGGGTCTAAGTTTGAGTTTTTCCAAATTTTGGCCCCTTCATTTTCTTGGGTTGGGAGAGATTTTGGGCAATAATTTAGGATGTTTTGGGTTTAGCCCCTTGGGTTGGAGATGGCCTAAGAGCCCTGTTTCTCTTAGAAGAAAAACAAAACCTTCAGCTTTTTTTTTCTTCCAAAATACTGTTTGGCATGAGAACATCATAAAATTGGAATTTTGTATGGACTATATAGAATCAAATGGGCCCATATTAAGTTTTCTTGGGCCAAATCAGATAAATATTCTTCCATTGTTTTAAATAGGCCTTCTACAATAAGATAATTTATGAGATGCTTATAGAATCCAAATAACATTTCTTTCTGCAATTTGTCACTTGGGATAGTCTTGGTTTTTTGTCTGAACACTTGGGATGGTCTTGAGCTCAGCTGTATTTGTGAAATTTGGAAGCTTCATGACCTCTGTAATAGACAAGCACAAGCATTGAGAAGTTAAAACTGGCTATGAACAAATTAAATTCAAGAGTTTTGAATTTTTCCCACAAGGCTAATCAATTCAAGCACAAAGAGTTAGCCCATCTCATCCACAGCATTGTGGATTCAACCCAGTCTAACTTCCAGGCGAATTTACTTCTGAATGATTTGTCTAAGTCTGGTCGACTCGATGAAGCCCGCCAGCTGTTCGATAAAATGCCGAGTAGGGATGAGTTTTCTTGGAACACCATGATAGCTGCTTATGCCAATTCAGGAAGGCTAAATGAAGCTAAACAACTATTTGATGCGACCCCAAGTAAAACCTCTATCACTTGGTCTTCACTCATATCTGGGTATTGTCGAAATGAGTGTGAAAGTGAAGCTTTTGTATTGTTTTGGCAAATGCAGCTTGAGGGACAAAGGCCGAGCCAGTACACGTTGGGCAGTGTCCTAAGGTTGTGCTCAACGTTGGTTTTGCTCCGAAGTGGTGAACTTGTTCATGGGTATGTGATAAAGACCCAGTTTCACACTAATGCCTTTGTCGTCACGGGTCTGGTTGACATGTATGCAAAGTGCAAGCGCATTTCGGAAGCTGAATATCTCTTTGAGACTCTGCCAGACAGAAAAAATCACGTGCTGTGGACTGTTATGCTTACAGGGTACTCTCAAAATGGTGATGGTTTTAAGGCAATGAAGTGTTTTCGGGACATGCGAGCTGAAGGGGTTGAATCCAATCAGTTTACATTCCCTAGCATATTGACAGCTGCTGCCTCAATTTTGGCGAATAGTTTCGGGGCTCAGGTGCATGGATGCATTGTTCATAGTGGTTTTGGGGCAAATGTGTTTGTCCAAAGTGCATTGGTTGATATGTATGTGAAATGTGGAGATCATAATAGCGCAAAGAAGGCACTAAAAAGCATGGAGGTTGACGATGTCGTTTCTTGGAACTCCATGATTGTTGGGTGTGTAAGGCAAGGGTTTACAGAAGAAGCTTTGTCCTTGTTTAAAGAAATGCATTCGAGAGAACTGAAGATTGATCACTTTACTTATCCATCTGTTCTAAACTCCCTTGCTGCACTGAAGGACATGAAAAATGCAATGGCGATTCATTGCCTGATTGTGAAGACTGGATTTGAGGTTTATCAACTTGTGGGCAACGCTCTTGTTGATATGTATGCTAAACAGGGAAATATAGATTGCGCACTTGAGGTGTTTAAGAATATGTCAGACAAGGATGTTATCTCATGGACCTCCCTGGTAACCGGCTATGCACATAATGGCTCTCATGAAAAAGCACTTAGATTGTTCTGTGAGATGAGAACAGCAGGGATCTATCCAGACCAATTCATAATTGCCAGCGTTTTGATTGCCTGTGCAGAGCTGACAGTTTTGGAGTTTGGCCAGCAAATTCATGCAAACTTTATTAAGTCCGGCCTTAAAGCATCCTTATCAGTAGATAATTCATTTGTGACTATGTATGCAAAATGTGGGTGCATAGAAGACGCCAATAGAGTTTTTGACTCTATGCAAGTTCAAAATGTGATTACTTGGACAGCTTTAATAGTTGGTTATGCCCAGAACGGTAGAGGAAAGGAGTCCCTAAAATTTTACGATCAAATGATTGCAACTGGCACACAACCGGACTTCATTACTTTTATTGGCTTATTATTTGCTTGTAGCCATGCTGGTCTTCTGGAAAAAGGTCAATACTACTTCGAATCGATGAATAGGGTTTATGGAATACAACCAGGTCCTGAGCACTATGCATGTATGATTGACCTCTTGGGGCGCTCAGGGAAGCTTAAGGAGGCTGAGGCATTAGTTAATCAAATGGTTGTGGAACCAGATGGAACTGTATGGAAGGCACTACTTGCTGCATGCAGATTACATGGGAACATAGAACTGGGAGAGAGGGCAGCAACAAACCTATTTAAAATGGAGCCTTTAAATGCTGTGCCTTATGTTCAGTTATCTAACATGTATTCTGCAGCTGCTAGATGGGAAGATGCTGCAAGAATCAGAAGATTGATGAAATCAAAGGGAATTCTTAAGGAGCCTGGATGCAGCTGGATTGAGATGAACAGTGTTGCGTAGATACAGCTGCACCAAAATGGATTCAGTTGCATCCTCAACTTGTGATACTCGCAAGTGCACGAGCCGTTTGGTAGTATAGCATATGTAAGTGCGAGGTCGATCCCACGAGGATTGGTGATTGAATGATCCAATTTAGTTTCCCTACACAAAATAGAAACAAAAACAAAGAACATAAAACAAGGAAGAAAGAAATAAGTAACTCAAGCAAATAAGTTCCCAAGTTCAATTTAGATTAATGAATTGATTCTAGCTAAAGTATGATTAAGCCATGGTGTGTGGTCATAACCTTGTGTTCCTAATTCCCTAATTTGATCATTTGTTGTCTAACCTAATAGAAGCCATTCAAGGACAGCTGAAATTTATTCCAAAATCGATGAGATCATGATGTTGATCAAGGAAGCTGGATACGTCGCAGATATGAATTTCGCACTTCATGACATGGAAAAAGAGGGTAAGGAGCTTGGCCTAGCGTATCACAGTGAGAAGTTGGCTGTTGCTTTTGGGCTCCTCACCACACCACCAGGAGCACCAATCCGAATTTTTAAGAATCTCCGGGTTTGTGGAGATTGCCATAATGCAATGAAATATATATCAAAGGTTTTTCTCCGGCATATTATACTAAGGGATTCAAACTGTTTTCATCATTTCAAAGAAGGGAACTGTTCTTGTGACGACTATTGGTAGAAGGTTCATTAGTTAACATCAAATGGCTGGTTTGTCGTGCTCTTCTTGAAGACCGTCAAGTTGCACTTCAAAGGTTGAGACCATCAACTCCGTCTCTCTTTTTCTTTCCCTTCTTTGATATCTTTGGATTATGTAGATCTGGATGAGAAACCTAAAACTTAGATGTTTGATGCAGATGAAACTTGAAGCTGCTGAAACCCGGATAAGCAATAGGCCCCAAACCTATGACAGTCAAGTGAACAGTGATTTAAATGGTAATATATGAACTTTCCCATCTCATACTCTTATGTGATGTGTTTTCTGTAAGCGCCTAACTTCTGCATCTACAAGTGTGGCTTGCATACTATAGGGAATTATGTTCGTCAGTCATGTATGAGAATTCGAACTCTCATGTACTGCATAAAGAGATCTCCTCCTCATCCAATTGTCTTAGATAATGCAAACCATTTTCTACCTCCATCAAATCAGCTCATCAGGATTCTGAATCACTACACCTTGAGTACAGGATTTCTTGAAAATACAGGATCAGATATTCTAATAAGACTATGAACGTGCGGAAATATATTGTTTGTTGTATGTAATATTCCATCCAGAAAGCGGAGCTCTTAACATTTTCGAATTCAAAAACCATTTTGTAGTTCTATGTCTATCTGAGATTTAAGCCTCTTCAGAAACCTCTTACATCATTAGTTGTGTTTATGTGGCAGTGTATGTCGGCGTTCGATTCAAAATTCGCGTACCTTGAAAGTGACTGGCGGCTGCTAATCTCAAAGCTTAAAGAACCCCAATGTGACCTTCCTAGCAAGATCAGGCTATTTTGGAAGAGCAGGCTATGAAGGTAAATGCCCAGAAAAATCAGTTGCGGCCCAGCTGCAGAGCTGCAAATAGCCTTTGTTGATCTCTATTTTTGTGGTGCACTCAGGTAGGGGACGAAAAATATTTATTTGTTTCACTCTAAATTCAATGACCTATAATATATAGAGGTAATCTGGCACTAAAATATCTGTATTATTTCAGTCCAGTTTTGACCATGAACGCATTCTTGATTGTCATGGTAGATTCGATTCAACCACGATAATGTTTAACTTTGGTCGAAATTCATCCCAAACTAGACAAAATTATTGTCTGGATGCAATCAGTGGTACGGTAAACTGAACACATAATTCAAATGTAGAGGATTGCCTGTTGTTTCACTTAAGGCCACTAAAAGGGAAAAAGCAAAAGATAAAAGAAGAAATTGGGGAATCAACTCGAATATTTGAATTTCTCTGTAAATAGTGGGGAACAGTATACAATGAGAACCTAATTTTATCTAATGATCCCATTTTAAGTTAGTCTCCACAATATTCATAGAACACTATATGACAACATGATTAACATATATGTAAGAAGAACTCATCTTTCACAGTCAAGGCATACAACATTACATTGTAAAAATTTTAATCTTGGAATCTCTGTGCCAAGCAGTCCCACTCCACCCCCACCTGAAAATTCCACCCGCAAGATCCATTTGTACAAACAGCCTGCCAGAAACTCATCTCCGGTGCATAGTTCTGCCATGACTGATCTGAAAGGATCAAGAGACAGCAGACCCTTTGGGTGCGCAAGGCAGCATGGCTCATGTGAGCATCCAAGCAATCAAAACTGCATTTACATCGTGTACATTTGTGACCCCCTCAGTTTCAATAATTAATTCCTAGCATGCTCAGGGATTAGACGATGTCGGAGTTCAGTGGAAGCGCCCGCCAATTCTGCATGTGTTAGACGTCAAGATTAACACAACAACTAACAGAAAAAAGCAAATAAAAACAAGGCCATAGAATAGTGCAAAATCTTACCTTGAGCCGTGAAATCGAACAAAGGAGGTAATGCTCGTCCATTGGGCAAGCTTACATTTGGGTCTCTCAAATCATCAAAGAAGGGGTGAGCACATGCCTCCAACTACAAACCAGGAAAGAATTTAGTATTATACTTTTACCATTCACAAGTTCCAATAAAAATTTATCAAGAGCAATTTTATTTTCTTACAGCTGTGCAACGTAGATTTGGTGAGTACTGGAGCAGCCTTGACACAAGATCCACTGCTTCAGGGGGCATTCGCTTGTGAAATATCTGAAGATTAAAAGCACATTAAGATTTTCTGCTGACACAAATATAGATCCGATAATCCAATTGATGAAGAGCTGATCATAAATACTCAAAAATTAAAATATTGAACAGACCTTGTGCCATGGGTGAGCTTTGATCTGAGGGAACTTAAACTCAGTGTAATTCGGATTCATGCACTTTATTTCTTCTCTGGTTGGTGTCCCAAGAATCTAGTATGATACCCAAAAGAGAAAATCAGAATGCAAATAGCAAAAGAATCACCATAACAAGCAAAAAGTGGGTACATCTACCATACCTTTATAATCTCCACCAGCTGATCAACACCACTCTCCCCGGGAAACAGTGGCTGCAATGATACCAAAAATAGCCATGACTTACTAGAAAATATAAATAAGGAAAGAAAATAATATGAAAGACAACAAGGTGCACATTCTCCCAGCTGTAAAATAACAAATAAATAAATAATATAAAAATCATGCCCAACCGCCAACACAAGCAAACCTTTTGGTAAAGTGCTTTTTTTTTTTTTTGTGGCATTTTTTTCCGATTTAGTAACCAAATTCCTACAAGTTAGATAGAAATCTGACATGCTATACGCATACCTGTCCAAGAAGAAGCTCAGCAAATACGCAACCAACAGACCACATATCAATTGCAGTGGTATATTCTGTAGCCCCAAATATAAGTTCTGGAGCCCTATAATATCGTGAACAAATGTATGATATGTTGGATTCACCTGGCACCTAAAAATGAGAAAATAAAAGAATTCATAAGTTCCAAGACCTTCATGAATTCCAAGATATCATCAAAGCACTGTGACCTCCAGATTCACAAACTACGAAACATACCAACATCTTTGCACTCCCAAAATCACATATCTTTAGCTGATGCGTGTGGGGATTCACCTGCAATATACATCACAACCTCAACCTCAGTATGATGACAGAAGATACAATGTCATATCAATTTGAACACAAAACATAGTAAACATATCAAAGGGCTGACATGCAGGCTTTAGTCTTTATTTAAATAATTTAAACTATCAAAACTTAGTGCTCATATCATATGCAAAGTGGAGTGGGTAGTTGAACCCCAATATAATTGTTGTCAATTTTATCTATATAAGTAAAGTCAGACTGCTGTGAATGAGAAAACTTATTCTGGTTCATTACATGATCAACACTAAAATCAAACTGATAAAAGTTAAAAGAAAATCTTACCAGCAAATTTTGTGGCTTAATGTCACGATGACACACACCAATAACATGGTGTAAATAATTTAATGCGCGACAAATCTACAAAAGATAAAACAACAGAATTTATTATCCAGAATAGGCGTCAAAAAAGACAAACCACTAAACAAAAGGCAGGAAATAAAAATCAGCAGCAGGATTCCAAAATCACCTGGTATGTATACAACTGCACATAAATAATGGGAATATGTTGGTTCATCCTGATATAATGCTTTGAAACTCGGTAAACAGTTTCAGATATATACTCGAGGACAAGGTTAAGGTACAGCTCGTCTTTGTCAGTAGTAGAAAAGAAGCAATGCTTCAACTGGACAACGTTAGGATGGTCAAGTAAACGCATAATTTGAAGTTCTCTATTTTTATATCTTTTATCCTGCAGCACCTTTTTTATTGCAACTGCGTCACTTGTTTCCAGACATTTAGCCTGCAGCATAGAGTACAGTGAGCGAGGGAAAAAAATTGACGTCGAAATCTGTATCAGTGGAAAAGGAACCAACAAAACCTAAATAGTGAGCAAATCCAAATAATCTAATGTACCTGAAAGACAACTCCAAATGAACCAGTGCCAACTACACGCTCTGCCATATATGAAATTGTCTGTAACCAAATAAGAAAATTGATTAAAACATTATGAACAATTTATCTCAAATATAATACATCATGTACGTATAGAGTGTAAATCAACCAAAGGCTCCAGCAGAAAAAGAGATCATACACAAAGAAGTTAAAAATCATTGAACATAAAGACTTTCTAGTATGGTATTACTAATTATTCAAGACAGTGAAATTAAGAGACAACTTGAGAAATGCAGAAGCACAAAGCAGATAAATGAAATCACCTGTTTAGGTTGTCCATTCCGGCCTCCTACTGTTGTTGCAATTATATGACCAGTTTCTGTTCCATTACCATTTATAACAGTTTCTTCCATATCCTGCGCAGGGAAAATTTGCAACCATTTACTCGGTAACTGATATTTGCTAGCAGAGTGATAATATATTCACATATCTGAAGGAAAAAATTACATGAAAAGAATTAACAACAAAAGTTACCTTTTCATCATGGTTGTTGGCCTTCTCATCTCTAATTTTCATTTCATTCATTTCTTTGGGAAGCTGATCATAACTTGACTTTTCTACTTTGGCCTCTGTCTTAGCTATTGAAGATACATCAGATGTGCTTGCAACAGTTTCCAGTGATGTTGGAGCCGTATGCTGCTCTAGACTGGTGGCACTTTTCTCAACAGTATTTGACTGTTTATTAGCCTTCTTCTCAGTTTCTTGGTCGACCTTTGCTCTCTTTGTAATAGAATCAACGCCCTGGAAATAAAAAATGAAACTTAGCTATAAATGATCAACAAATAAAAAGGTTGTGCAAAATATCTTAAACAATGACAAAAATAACCCACATAGCCTTCATTATCTCCTATTAAAAGAAACCCAAACATATAGATCTAAAATGGCATTTTAACTCATTGCTGTAAACAACCACACCAGTAATGAGCTAGTAGCACACATTCTTGTAACTTTATACACACAAACGCATATTTAACATTCACACACATAATGGCATTTTAACTCATTGCTGTAAACAACCAAGCCAGTCATGAGCTAATTGCACATATTCTTGTATTTTTATACACAAAAACACATATTAAACATTCACACACAAAGTTGGCATTGCATGTAAACCATAAAAGAACCAAAAACAGTCATTTGATGTATCAGCAATCCCAACAAAGGCTGCTCTTGTTACATAAACTAACATTTTAAAACATCATTATCTGTAGTGACATAAAACTTCCTTTGCTCACAAGTAATTGCAATTGCAATGCATCATGAACATACTAGACCAATCAAAAGTAGGAACAACTTAGTCTTGGGCAACATTGATCAGCTACCCACGCATAAAACGTAACAGCACAACAATTAAAATCCCATTTAGGCTCGGGACAGATGTGTAAATACGATTGAAAACCCATAATTACCACCCCAGCCCCCACCCAATAAAAATGGAATAATACATACATACTAATCTAATAAAACCATATGGTCCTTCAAATCCATACACGAAAAAACCGAACTTTTTCTAATATGCACAGAAAATAGGGAAGAAAAATCATCAAAATGCTCAGATTTGCTAGTGGAAGAAAATCTAACATCTCTGTCTGAAATATAAACAAAAATGAATACATACATGTACCCCAAAAGAATATAATTATATATTTAAATATCCACTAGATAAACCCAAATCATAACAGTAAACAAAAAAAAATCATCAACTGTATTTTGAATATCCAGATGCCAGCTTCTGAAATTCCAAATATCAGAAACCCAAAGCTCCATAAATCACGACATATAACTTTTTGCTTCATTTTTTGATCCATTTTCTGAGCTAGCTAAACAAGCTCTAACGCTCTAAGCCAACAATAAATGAACAAATATAAATATAAATCACACTTACAGGCTCCGATGAAACAGAGGTCCGACCCGAGGCAATGCTCTTGAGCCTTCGCATCATATTCATCTTCGTTTCTTCTATTTGATTCAACCAAACCCTAAATTCCTCCCAGAAAATGAGAAAAATCACAGAAGAGAGAGAAAGAATGCCAAGCTTTCTCTCTCCTCCTCCTCCTCCTCGTCTCTCTGTTTCTCTC